ACAGGACGAGGAGCGCTCTCGGGCTTCTAGACCAAGCATCGGCGGCCTTGACTGCTCTTCTTTCTTGCTACTGCTGTGCCTTGTCCTCGTCCTTGACGCGATCTTTCAACTAACTGGTCAGACTTGATGTATGCAGAGCAGTTGACATGGACGCGATGATGTTGCGGTGACCCCGTTAGGATGGACCTCGCTGGCACCACACTGTTGTCACAAGTGGACGGATGGATTGTTTCGCCTCCAACGCTGACTTGTGGTGTCATTCAATGCAAACTCCGTCGCCAAGATTGCTAGGAGCAGTGCGACTCGGACTCGGTCACCTTGGCCTGCGCCTTGCCGCACAATTTGGTGTCGTCGCACTAGTTTCACCTTGTCACCAGCACCTCCGTGCAGCATGCCATTCCGTAGCATTGCATAACGTCATGTAACCAATGTTCGACAAGGAAAGCATCGATCCGACGACCTCGCAGGTATGGCGCACACCTTGGTGGTCCCAACTTGCGTGCGTGAGAACATAGCCTACAGGGCCATAGCAATCGTTGATTGCAATGGTTTCAAGGTGATGTGTCGTTGGGCAGCGATGGCGACACGAGGAAGGGATTGCATGGTGGAATTTGGCGACTGGAAATCGCAGGGACACGCATGATGAGACTTCGTGGCGTCGTTATGTTCGCCGTGACCTGAAGACTACTTCATCAGTCATGTAGTTTCACCGCGTGCATCGACACCTTGCAGAAGTAGGTCGTTTAGAGCGCAAGCGTGAACCCCCCACTTTTCCTACACTTCACGTGACAACTCATTTTCAATTCCTGGTCGCTAAGTCGCAAGGAACAACTGCACGCTGCAACAGCACATGCGCGACAGGGTATTCTATTGAATACAGGCATGGGAATGCTCTGGGGATGTGCACCCCAGCCCCCAGCGACAGGAAACGACTGGTGGCAAGTGACCGTACCTGTTGGCGGTGGCCCGACGACGGGGTGTGACCTACAACAACATATTCGATGAGGGGAACGTGTTTAAGGAAGCTGGTCCCTCGCACTTCGCTATGTCATGAATCGTTCCAGCACAGGGGGCATGTGCCTGCACGTGTTGGCCGTTTCGACGGCTCTTTAGAGATGGACCGTGCACGTCGACTGCGCCTGTGCAAATCGTCCGTGATGCTGTCTCGATGTGCTTGTCGTTGGGACGAGGATGCATATTCTATACGTGGGGGCGAACATGACGGCGGTGGTGTTACATGCAGTAGGGTCAACACCACCATCGGTTGACTTTGACGTTTCTCA